CTGGGCTCCAGCTGCATCCCAAATTTGCATTTTGTCCCCTGTGATCTGCCCTTGTTTGGTTCACTGTATTAAATGGCTCTCAAAACGCCCCAAGTGGACCCTGCCCTTCTACCTTGAACTCTACCATGTGTTCCCTTCCCACATCTTCTATTTTCCACTAAGGCACACAAATGATGATATTGTTCTGTTTTGAGCTGGCTGTTTCTGGATACAAGGTCTCCCCGAGTGGCTCGTCCCTTCTGGGCTGTGGTACAGAACACCGGGAAGTCTCCCCGGAAGAAACAAGTGGCAAGTTGTCTGTTCCTGAAAGGCTGGGCCGTCGTCCTGTTGGAACCTGGTGGTGGCTGACGGCCTCATATATCTTCACAGAAGTGTCTGCGCGCGGAAATGCGCAAACTCAGGGGCCTTTGCACAGCCAGACCCAGCCTGGAACCCCATTCATACCCCAAAGATGATGCATGTTCGCGTCCCTGGAATTGGTGCTCTATTTTAGGGAGAAGAGAATAAAAAGAAAATTGAAACTCATTGGCAGCTGAAGGCAAATGGCTCTAGGGCATTTGGGACAATCATTTAGGGTGGGGAATGTTTATGTGTCCATAGATGTGTGTGTGTAAATAATGATGGAAATGTTTAGCGATAATGTTCCAGCAGAGGTTCCGCGAGTTAAGCGTTTAAATATAATCTAGAAAATAGAGAATTTTGTCTCATCTTTTGTATCATTTATATAAATTTATGCTTCCCGCATTTATATTTCAGAATATTTGTTAAACATATTATTACATTTTGTTCCCTTTTGGCGTTCATATTAACCTTTTGCGTTACTTTGTGGTCCTTTTTTCAGGGTGGGGACAAGCTTCATTTATATACTTCCCATATCTGGAAATATTTTGTGTGGTAGTAGTGATGACTGTTTGCTTTGGGTTCAATTACACTATCATTAATGACCCCAGAGGGGAGGAAAAGCAAATGAAACCTTTCATGCAGTCTTGCCTGCCTTCTGCTGTAGCTTTCCAGCCTCTCTCCATCCTCATTATACAATTTTGCCCCAGGGTACCCTCAGCTTCCATACACATGCCTTTCAGTGGGGAAATGAACACGGTCCATGACAGCAACCACATTTTACTGTGGCCTCTGTGGCTGCAGATGTAGATCTGAACGCAGCTCCTGTGGGTTGACATTTATCTTGGGGAGAAGGTTGGCGACCTCCATGCTGATAAGGCGTAGCTCTGTGGATGCAAGGGGGCAGATCTCTGTCTCTAGGAGCTGGAAGGAGGGCATTGCAGATCCCAAGCGCCTCTAATCTCAAAGTTGGTTTTTTCCCTTATTTTTAGGCTTGTATAAGTGTCTCTTGTTGGTGGTTCGGGAGAAGAGATGTTTGTTCAACGAACCGTCATTTGCAGCATATGAGAAAAGTAAAGTCTAAAGTTAGTTAACCGGGATTGTGCCTCTCGGTAGGCCTGGGACCGAACGAGGACTGCCTGCTCCCGTTGCCGTGGCGTACTGCGTCACCTCTATGCTGTTGTTTCCTGCAACCTTCGCCGTCCGCTTAAAACATCTTTTTCGACCTCCGGCTCTGGCATGACTTACAACAAACAGCCCTGGCGGAGTGAGGCCGAGGTGGAGCTTCACTTAGGCGGGCTCCACTGACACGCGCTCCCCACCCCTACCACCGCCCTACCTGTCCTCCTGGGCGGCAGGAAGGCGTGCGGGCAGTCCATGCTAGCACCACGGACAGGGCAGTGCTGGGGCAGGAGACCTGCAGAGTGTGCCCCACCTGCCCCACTGCGCCTCTCGGAAGCATAACTCTACAGGCCGCCCAGGCCAGCCTTCCACCCTGCCTACCCCAGGCCAGTCTGCGTGTCTGCAGAGGAGAGCTTCTCTGAACCGGGAGGAGGCACTGCTCCACCCCGTTCAGGGGGCAGGGGGGTGAAATGCTGGCATTGGACATTTCCCATTACGTCACCCTCAGTGGGCTAGTGATGCGGCATGCCTCAAAGTGTGGGGCCTTCCCTAAGCAGTGCAGGTGAGGATTATCCAACCGCCCAGGTGGGCTATACCTGATGGAAGGCTCTGGATCTGTCCTGTCTCTCACCCACTGACTGGCTAGGGGTTTCCTTACCTGTTGTTTCCTCTAACATTCACCACCCAACCCCACAGATAAACTAATTTGCACTTTAAAACATCTGTGTGGCTTGGGACATGTCTCAAGTAAGAGAAATTAGCCTCACCTCCTATGCTTCCAAATTGCCCCTCTGTTTGGCTGCAAGCTTGAGTATTGGGGTGCGTTGAGGTTGGGGTGGGGTGGGGCAGACCCTGCCTGTGTTTGGGGTGCTTCTCCACTGGGCTTTGGACACTCCCTCACTTGCCCACGTCTCACAGGAGGCT